GACTGGGAGCCGTAGGGTCGCCGGTTCAAGTCCCCAAACAGACCTAAATATGGAGTGTGGACTGCTACTTGGAGAGGTCCCAGTTCACCTCCTGGGCCCTGCCCTGGTGCCCTTGAGCAAGGCACCGGACACCCCCCCCCAGTCCCATTGCTCCCTGGGCCCTGTGCAATAGCTGCCCCTGGTACTAGGGTGGGTTCAAAGCAGAGAACACATGTCCCTGAGTGCTCTGCATGTGTGAGCATTAAAGAGTTCATCCCTCCTATTCTCTTCTCTGTGAATGGGTTTCCTCAGAGAGGTTAGAACTTGAGCTAAAGGTTAAAGGTTACTGTTTATCTCGACAAAGCTTTGTAAGCTTCTAAATATAAAGATGGTTCTGGTTTCTGCATTATCATTTGTTGATGAAATATGATGTATAAAAAGAGTTATGAAATAAAAGAGTTTGAATCAAAAGAAAGGAACCAGGCCTCAGGAAATACCTGAAGGGGAAGTATGAAACAGGAAGCTCACCATTCTCTCCGAACGTGACCCTGATCTTGATGGCGGTGAGGTTCTGGAGGAGCGAGTGGAACTGAGCGGAGGAGATCTGTGGCCTCCAGCGGCTGCTGGGCTGCTCGTCCAGTCTGTACACGGGAACATCACGTTAGCATCCGTTAGCATCCAACAAGGTCGCTGCAAAGGTTCCGTTTGTATTGCCAGATTCACCGCTCTCATCATTTGAATATGAGCTATTATTGAGCCCCTGTGGTTAGACCATGTGTTCATCGGCTCATCAGAGTCAATAGGAAAACATTGATGACGTGTTTCTAAGCAGAGAGGCTGCTCTCATACAGCTGGACACATCACTGTAAACTCTTTAATATAGCTTTTTAGATCAAGTAATCACTTGTTGGTGATATCAATGGTTCGTGCCTCTCCTGAACAACCGTTCACACACGTAAGTTCTTTGGCAAGTAAAGGAACCTGCTGTGTAAGGAAGGTTGATTAACCATAGCCAGCTGTATCAACCTTCCTTACACAGCAGGTTCCTCTGCTACAGGTTCCTCTGCTACAGGTTCCTCTACAGGTTCCTCTGCAGGTTCCTCTACAGGTTCCTCTACAGGTTCCTCTGCAGGTTCCTCTACAGGTTCCTCTACAGGTTCCTCTACAGGTTCCTCTGCAGGTTCCTCTGCTGGTTCCTTGTGGTTCTACCTGAAGCTGTAGTGGACCTTCTTTCCGCAGGGCACGATGGACCTCAGCTCTCCCAGAGAAGCCGTCACTTTGAGGCCGTTTCCCTCCAGAATCACATCGCTGACGGACGGGTGACGGACGCCTCGGTCCAGACGCAACGAGAAGGAGAAGTTCTGACCGTAGCTCAGCAGCCGGTTCCCCAGGTAACGAGCTGAGGAGAGAGACACCTGGTCAGGGAGGGAGGGAGCAAGGGGGGAGGAGAGGAAAGGGAAGGGAAGGAAAGGAAAGAAGGATGTGTGTAAAGACCATCGGAGAGGAGACCAAGGGAGAGAAGGAAAGGAAGGAGTGTATGGGATAAGATGTACTTGTCTTATCCCATACACTCCTTTCCTATCCTATGTGCAAAGAGCTTCAGAGATGAGAAGAAAGGAGAGAAGGAAAGGAAACAATAAGAGGGATTAGAAGAGGAGATAGGAAAGGAGGAGGAAGGAGGTGAATAGGAGAGGAAGAGGAGATAAGATGAAGATGGAGGAAGTGAATAGGAGAGGAAGAGGAGATAAGGTGAAGATGGAGGAGGTGAACAGGAGAGGAAGAGGAGATAAGATGAAGATGGAGGAAGTGAATAGGAGAGGAAGAGGAGATAAGGTGAAGATGGAGGAGGTGTTTCTCACCTGGAGCGTACAGGTAGACCGGCAGGCTGTTCTTGGAGATCACCTCCAGGTCCTGGTGTTTAGGAGACCAGCGGAAGTGAACGTCAGGGGGCGTGTCGCCTCGAGCCGTCGCTGCTCTCCAACCGTCCGGACCTGGAACACAACACAGTCCGTCAGGTGCTTTTATTTTGAAATTTAACCCAAAAATCCACTGTTAATTTAGGAACATATTTGGGGTATTTTATTTTGAAATCGGCCCCAGTATCCACTCTTAACTACAGAAAGTGTTAGGGGGTCTTTTTTATTTAATTTAACCAAGCAATCCACGATTAATTTATGAACGTTTTGGGGGCTTTTATTTTGAAATTGAAACTAGAATCCTCTGATAATCTCTGAAATTGTTGACTTGAAATTGACAGATGTTATTGTGAATTTATGAAATTGTCACTGGGGTCTTTTATTTTGAAATTGAAACCAGTATCTCCTTTTAACTGCTGAATGTGTCAGGGGAAACCATAAATCCACTGTTAATTTACGAAGATGTTGGGGTCTTTTATTTTGAAATTGGCCCCAGAAACGCTTTTTACACCGTTTTAAAATGAAAAAAGGTGTTCTTTTATTGTGAAAGGGGAGGGGTGAAAGGTTACCGCTGGCGAAGGTGGAGGTGATGTTGTGGACGGAGTATCCGGTCTTTGCAGAGCAGCGGCTACTGTGACCGTAACAGAAACAATTCCCAGAATCCTGTCTGGGCTGACGGCTGAAAGAAAACACAACGAGCGAACAGGAAGTGAGACCAGACGGTGACGACGAAACACAAACAGGAAATCAATCAGGACTCAAACCTCCAGAGACAGTTTCATCCCACAGACCATAAGACATTAACCACCTGAACTCTGTGAAGAATATCCATAACATTCATCTGTTTGCAAATTATTCATCTAATATATATTCCATTTACTTGTTTATAGACTCTTCTCGCACTTCTATTAACTTGCACATCTCAAAACATTCTCTATTTCATTTGTTTTATCAGTTTTATTTGTTTTAGTCCTAAAACATGTTGCTCTGTTGGAGGAGGACTTCAGTTTGTCATCTCCATATCTCCACTGTAGCTGCTGAGCTCACGGTGATAGAGACTTGAATCTTGAATATTCCAGAAAAATTTCAGAATATTGAGAAAAAGTCAGAATTTTTTTAGATTTTCGGAAAAAGTCAGAATTGTGAGATGTTGAGAAAAAAGTCAGAATTTTGAGAAAAAGTCAGAATTTTTAGATTTTTGAGAAAAAGTAATGATTTTGAGAAAAGTCAGAATTTTCTGAAGGTTCAGAAAAAAGCCAGGATTTTTTTGATTTTCGTAAAAAAAGTCAGGATTTTGAGATCTCAGGATTTTTTGAAAAAGTCAGGATTTTTAGAAAAGTCAGAATTGTTCAGATTTTGAGAAAAAAAGTCAGAATTTTCAGAAAAAAGTCTCGATATTTTAGATTTTCGAAAAAAGTCAGCATTTTGGTAATTAAAGTGCAAAAAGAGTTATCAGCGTGAGTTTCTTCACCTCTGCTTGCAGCCGGTGGCTCCGATTGGTCCGTCCGGGCAGCGGTCACATTTGTCTCCTGTGACGCCGTCTTTGCAGCTGCAGCGCCCCCTGCTGTCACACGTGGTACTGACAGCACCTGGAGGCAGAGACACAGGTGAGCCGGTGCTGATTGCCATATTGATAGGATTAATGCAGTGAAAATGTAAGTTATTATAATGAAATATAATGTTGTTAATCAGCAACTGTGAGAGGAAAAATACAGGGTTTTTTCATTGTGGAACTTCACCCTAAAAGCACTCTCAAATAATTTGGTGTTGCAACTAAAGGGGGAAGTTGAAGTTTAACCAGCAAACAGGAAGTTAGTCAAAACAAAGATTTAAATATATATATATCGCAATATATCGTATCGCAATACTTAGCATATCGTAGAATCGCAATATCGTATCGTGGGAAGCCTGGTGATTCCCACCCCTAGTTAATATATAATAAAATGTAAGACCTCCTCTCAGAGTCTCTCACCTGTGGGGTTGCAGCGGCAGGGCGTGCAGCTCGGCAGCGTCCCCTGCTGGTGGAAGCCGTCCTTGCAGCGTTCGCAGTGGCGACCCTCAAAATGTCCCTGGCAGTCGACGCAGTGTAGCCCCCCGGCGTCTCGCAGGCAGTACCTGGAGCGGCCATTACAGTCGCAGCGCATCGTCGCTAAAGAAAGAAGAGAAGAAGAAATGATGAATGAAGAGACGGTTCAGAAAATATGAGTTTCTCACTGCATGCTTTTTCACTCCGGTTACTGAGGAGGAGGAGTAAGCTGCAAAGTTCTCATTGGGATGTTTTGAAAGTTGTAAAGATGAACAACTGTCTCTGTTGTTGGAAATGTTTTATTTTAATATGGTCATAACAATGTGATCACATGACTCCTTCTGATGTTACTGCAGATCTGCTGTAAGCTAGCTAGCTAAAGCAGCTAACCTAGTCTTTACACTTTTTAGAGTCCCCTGGTCTCCCAGCTGTGTGCGTCACTCTTTAGTGTCCCCTGGTCTCCCAGCTGTGTGCGTCACTCTTTAGTGTCCCCTGGTCTCACAGCTGTGTGCGTTACTCTTTAGTGTCCCCTGGTCTCCCAGCTGTGTGCGTCACTCTTTAGTGTCCCCTGGTCTCCCAGCTGTGTGCGTCACTCTTTAGTGTCCCCTGGTCTCCAGCTGTGTGCGTCACTCTTTAGTGTCCCCTGGTCTCCAGCTGTGTGCGTCACTCTTTAGTGTCCCCTGGTCTCCAGCTGTGTGCGTCACTCTTTAGTGTCCCCTGGTCTCCCAGCTGTGTGCGTTACTCTTTAGTGTCCCCTGGTCTCCCAGCTGTGTGCGTTACTCTTTAGTGTCCCCTGGTCTCCCAGCTGTGTGCGTTACTCTTTAGTGTCCCCTGGTCTCCCAGCTGTGTGCGTCACTCTTTAGTGTCCCCCACTTTACAGAAGCATGTTGCCCATAAACTACATGTCCCACAATGCATCTCGTTTTGTGACATGTGCACTGAAGAGCCTTGCAATCATTTGCCCTAG